CTTACAAAGCTCCCAGTTACTGGTATCCCCACAGTTTACAGCATCCAGCTCAGGGGTGAGGCACTAAAAGCATTACTACAGCCAGTAATGACCATACAGTTCCTCTGTTTAGCAGCATCTAACAGATCCCAAAGGCTCTGGCTCAAAACTAAAGGCATGTTCAGGCTGAGAGAGCTGGTTATTGACAAGGCTGGGACTTCAAAATTCCATTCTTACAAACGGCAGGAGGGGATTTTGGTTTTGTTTTAAAAATTCTTGTCTTTATTTTAAAACCAAGCAAGAAGAGATTCACAGCCCATCAGAAGATGGCAATTCTATCAATAGCTCCTCGGACACCAGCGCTGTATCCACAGCCTTGAGCTCCATCTGCTGCTCCAGCATGGAGGCACCTGGGCAGGAGCTCATGGTGAGCCAGTGGGAAAATCAGGAGAGCAGCTCCAAGGTCTCAAGTAGTGAAGGTCTGGAGGGGATAAGATAGGCCTGGCTATATATGAATTTGTTTTCCTGACACTCCTGCAGCTGTGAGAGCATTGCTAGAAGCCCAGAGAAAGCTTACACACCTGCATCACATCTGCAAGTCACAGAACAGAAGCATTACCCCATGTCACCTGTGACATGAGTGGTGTTTGGGGAACTGATCCATGACAGAGGCGAGCATGGAACGTATCCACAGTAAGGACAAAAAAGGAAACTGGGAGAAAAGTCCTAGAAGACTCTGCACTGGAGCAAAAGTCTTGCCCATCAGTCAAAAAATGGGATGTAGCACCATACTGCAGGCAGTCGGGAGGTGCATCCCTCCAAATCAGGGCAACACCACTGCAGAGACCAATCCTCAAGGAGCAGAGCACAGGAAAGCAGCAAAAGTCAACATGGTCCTCACAGCCCCACCCAGCTGAACCCTCCTCCAATCCCCCAGGGACACACACTCCTGTCCTACCTCATAAATCCCAGGAACATGAGGAGGATGAGGCTGACGAGCCACCCTGCTGTCGCAAAGGCCTTTGGCATCGTGAGGGCTCCTGTCCCCACGATGAGGTTGAACATGTAAACCAGGCCAACCTGCAACCAGCCACATGATCCAGCATCAGAGCGTGCCAGGAATCACCCAAAACACCTCACACATGCACTGACTCACACAGAGAGGGCAATCCTTGAGAGGGCAGGGTGGGAGCAAGAAATAACTAGAGGAGGGGACTGATAACCAAAGGGAACAAAGTCAGTGTCAGCACATTTCTGGAAAAACTGATATTCCTCTCCCTTTTCCTAGTTATTTTAAAATATTTTTTTCTTTCTATTCTAACTTTTAAAGTTAGAAAGCACAGGAGCTTTTTATTTGTTTGTTTTCAAATCACTGCCTTCTACCAGAAGGTCTGCACTGTGGGCTGGGGTCTCTCCTTGTTTTCCAACCCGAACCCAAGCAGTTATAACTGTGCACCTGAGTTATCTTTCAGAAGTGCTTGTTCTTCTTTATTCTTAGTCAAGCAGGAAATATCCAAAAAGAATTCTAATTCAAAGCCTACTTGACATTTTACCAGTAAGCAGCTGAGCACCTTCTAAAGAAGGGATTTTACTTCCTGAAGGGAAAGGATTTTATCTTCTCTGGCAATGAGCTTTTTTACTGCCCAGGGACAAAAGAGAACTCTGCACCTGGACAGGACCCCCCAGGCTATGCACTTAGCTGAATTCAAGATCAAAAATTGCCACAAAGTTGTTGTGCTTTGGGGGTTTTATTTTAATACAGGTCAGAATCTCTCCAGAGGAGAGCCAGTAAAGAACTGTCTCTGAGCACACTTTTGTGGGCGTGGAGCAATTACCATCAGGAGAACTATTCCCCAGAGACCCTGCAAGCACTTCACTGGCATAAGCACAGCAAATTCATCTTGTGCTGAACCTCCCAGAATGATGATTTTCCTTAACTTTGGTCAAGCAGGCAGGACAAGGATGATGCCCATGAGTTCAGTCTGGTCAGACATCTTCAGGGAAAGGGAACAGTCACAGCCTTTGAGATTACTCCAGGAAATTCATGCAACACCAACTTAACAACATAAGAGCAGGTGACACTAATCCTTGAGGGTCCAAACGTCCCAGTTACTGTCTCAGTTCTCCATTTTCTCAGCTGTGTCCTATTTCTGCAGCCTAATATCCTGTTCTCCTAAATTCAATCCTTACCATGGGGATGAAAGTTTTAAAGCATTTAAAAGCCAACACACAGATTTCAGGGCTGATTCTGTATCTAGTGAGTTCACTTCAGAAAAAAAAAAAACAAAAAACAAAAAACAAAACATGTTTGCAAAGCTCTGTTTTTAAAAGCTGACATTTTATGAAGACTTGTGGCTATGAAAACCAGTATTTCCAGTAACATAGGAAAGCAGTAATTGGCTCTGGAGTTGCACCAGCCACCACATTACAGGAAAGAAATATCCTGACTGCTAATTTTAAGTGAAGTGGTTTAAAACAAATTACTGCAACAGCTACAATTAAGTAAACTTTGAGAAATTCAGGGGAAAGCTTATATAAAGTACCAAAAGAGAAGAAAGGGGCATAGTTTTAATGTCACAGTTCCTCCAGTTTATGGTGCTTCACATTACACTGTGGATTGAGGAAAAAAGTAATAAAATACAAGGAAAGTGGGTAAAAGGATGGAAGAGCTGGTGTGGGACATTAAGCACTTTTTAATCTATACTTTAGGCAGACATCATCCCTTTATTTCAGTTACAGTAATCTCTGATATAGAAAAACCTCCATTAACTACAAACACTAAGCATTTTTAACTACCCTTTGACCACCATCATCTCCTGAAACACTGAGGTTACGCCCATGGGGAAGTGGGATCTGAAAACACAATGCTGAGGGAAGAGTATTTTGAAAAAAAGAACAACTTGTGAGCAAACCCCCAAGCAGCAGAACTTACATATGGAGAGTAAAGCTCTCCAGTGTCAGTGATGCCCCCTGCCATGATGGAGACGGAGGGGAGGCCCAGAGCACAGCCAGGAGGGTGTTTTCAACTTCTCTTCCCTTTAACCTGGGGAAACATCAGAAAATGTTGTTATTTTTGCTAGAAAGAGGAGGAACTCACCAGTCAACTTCTGTACATCAATCTTCTGGCACTTTAAAAGAGTTCAACAGGACCTTGCCCTTCGGACAGACCCCACTCACCAGCACCACTCGGTCCAACACTCTGTGAGTTTTCATACCTGTTAAACCAGTTTAAAAGCAACCAAAAGGCCCTGCCCCTTTCACAGCACGTGATGACCAAACTTCACCTTCCCCAAACAGCCAGAGGGGCTCTTTCATATACTAAAACCTCAAGAGGAAGAATGACTGCCTTGAGGATGAGCTCACACTGCTGCTTCTCATGCAGCTGCTACTCTTTTCAAGCACGTGCCTACTGCACATCAAAGAGCAAAAACCAGCCTACAGTCTCTCCTCATAAATCAAGTACAGAAATAAGCAGACAAATTAAAACACTGCACCTATTAAAGACACGCCAAGATGTTTTTCACGTGCCAAGGTTTCCAAAGCAGAAGTATTTGGGGAAAGAGAAGAAAGTGGAATAGTTTCAATGTCACAGTTCCCCCAGTTTATGCCGGTTCATGTGATAATTACGGTTGATGAAAACGTTAATGAAATACAAGAAAAATGGGTAAAAGGATGGAAGAGCTGGTGTGGGACATTAAGCGGTTTTTAGCACTTTTGGATATATAGTTTAGGCAGACATTGTCCCTTTATTTTATTGAAAGTAAACTCTGATATAAAAAAGGGTGGAGGGGAGAACCAAAGCCTCCTGAAAGGTTTCAGTGTCAGTAATTAGCCACAGTAGAATTGTTTAGGGGCTTCGTACATGTGCTCTTACTCAGCCACACAAACTGGGACAAATCATCAGCACGAGCTTCACAAGGTAAGAGCACCACTAAAAAAACAAACAGTTGTAAGCTGGCACACACACACTGGATGACAGAAATCACTCTGGCAGCACAGCTCAGAATGGTCATAACTGGACCAGCCTCAGGAGAAGAGGCCAAACATCATCTTTTATGACAGACCTGGGCTCAAACCGCAGCAGCCGAGCTTGGCAGACAGGCAGCAAGAGCAGGGGTGTGCTGACAGACAGCCCGGGACAGGAGCCCGGGCAGGGCCCTCACCCAGCCCGGGCGGACCGACCCCAGGGCCCGGGACCCCGCGAGGCCTCCAGAGCCCCCCGGCCCTGCCCTACAGCCGGAACGCCGCTCGCTCACCCCGCCCTGCCCGGGGGAACACCCCCCCCCGCCCCACAGAGCCCCCACAGCCCGCGGCCTCCTCACCCCGCCCGCTGCACCCCCGCCCCACACGGGACCCTCCTCCCCAGGCCTCTCTCAGCCCGCGGGGCCCCTCCCCAGCCCTCGCCCCCACAGTCTCTCCCCGGGACGCCCCTCAGACCCCTCGAGGGCGCCGTCGGCCCCGTTTCCCCCGGGTCCCGCCCCGGGTCGCCCCCGCTCCCTCACCGGCGGCGGCTCGTGCCGGCGGCCCCGCCCCCGCCGCGCGGGAGGCACTCACGGCGCACGCCCGGAACCTTCCGCGCACGTGACCGGCTCGAGGGGCGGGGCGGAGAGGAAAGCGCCGAACTGCGATTGGGTGGCGGGAAGGGGCGGGGCCAGGGAAGAGGCGGGGCGGGGCCAGGCGGGGGCGCGGCCAGAAAAGGGCGGGGCTGTGAAGGTGACGGGGCGGGGCCTGCTTGGGCGCGGTCTAAAAAGGGGGCGTGATCGGGATGGACAGGGGCGGGGCGGGAAAGGGCAGAGGCGTGTCCAGGACGGGGCAGGGCCGGGGTAAACACGCCGATAGCCATTGGCCCGTGGGAAGGGGCGAGGCAGGGTAGGGGCAGAGGCGGGGCCATAGGGGGCGGTGCCAAAGGGGGCGGGGCGAGGGCGGGGTATGGTGGAGGCGGGGTCATGCAGAGGCGGGGCGATGACGTAATGCAATTGTGTTGGCTCTGCGCATGCTCGGGGGGCGGCGCGGCAGATCCACGTGACGGGCCGGTGGCGGTTCCCGCGGTCCCGGAGCCCCCCCGGCCCCGGGGTCCCCTCGGGCACCTTGGTGTGGGGGATCGGCGTGACCTGCGCTCCCGAAAGGCTCCAGGCAGCGCTGCCCCCCCCCTCGGCCTCGCCGCAGAACGGAGCGGGTCGCTGGGGCTCTTTCTTGGTGCCGAGGCCATGAAGATTAACCAGGACACGGTGCTGCGAGGGAAGAAGGTGGCGCTGGTGCCCTACACCGCCGCACACGTGCCCCGGTACGTGGCTCGTGTCCTGCTCGGTCTGATTTCACTTCTCTCTCTGAAGCGAGTGTGATGGTCAGAGGGGGCTGGGCCTCTTCCCTCTGGGAATCACTCCTGGGAAGGCAGTGAGTGTGCCCTCCGTGCCCGGCTGTGCTCTGTGCCGGCTCTGCTGAAAGGGATAACTTTATCTGTGCCATTGAGTATACCCGTGGAAAAGGGGAAATACCTGCCTGTCAGTGAGTGAACACCAGCGGTTCTCCTGTTCGTTGATGCCTTTCCCTACTGACAGTGTAAGAGCAAAAAAAGCCACAAAACTTAAATGTGTGGATGTTTGATACATTAGGTGTGCAGGTTTGTGAAGTGCTGGCCTGGACAGCTGCAGCCTCAAAGATGCCAGTACTGATGTTTTTGTCAGCGTCCAGGAGGGATGAAATGCACAGGAACCCAGTGCTCTCAAAACCACCCAGTTTGCATTGGGCACTCTTCAGGCAAAGCCACTGAATTTCTACAGAGAAATTCCTGTGTTAGAAAAGGGAGAGAAGGCTGTGGACACTTTTAAGTTGCCACAAAGGCCGGGGTGATGCTTCCAGAGCTGGTTTATGCCCTGATCCTCAGGTTGCTGGGGGAGATCCACCCGCAGTGCTGCAGCTGGGGCAGTGACGTGGCTCTGGGTCCCTTGTCAGGTACCACGAGTGGATGCAGTCGGAGGAGCTGCAGCGCCTGACGGCCTCGGAGCCCCTCAGCCTGGAGCAGGAGTACGAGATGCAGCGCAGCTGGAGGGAGGATGCCGACAGTGAGCACCTGAAATGTTCTCTAAGGAAGGATGGGAGTGGTGGGCAGGTCCCTTCTGTCCCGGGAAGGACCCACAGTGAGCTGGGAGTCTCCCCCCGAACCAGAGGAGATGTGAGACCCTCTACAACAGCAGCTTTGAACTGGCTTTCTGTTATATATAAACCATGTCAAGGAACTAGGGATGTCCAGGGCTGCTGGTGCCCTTTTTATGCAGTTTTTTAAAGATTACAGTGAATTACTTCCCACAGCATTATGTGCTGAGCTGATCCTGCACAGCCAGCACTCCCCAGGTCTGATCATTATAAAAAAGTGGAAAGAGGTTGTATTTTTCCTTGAGAAATCCAGTGATTTTTATAATGATCTGGTTGAAGCAACTGAATTGATTCCCTGACTCTCCCACAGGTAACAAATCCCTGCCCATAAAAGCCTGGTAGAAATGTAGTGAGCTAGAAAATACTGAAGCTGGCAAAGACCCCAGTCTGGAGTATTTGTCTTACTCAAAGCATTAAAAGCCTTACTCAAAGCAGTAATAACATGGACCAGATGAATCACTAGGTCTCAGCCTCTTGTGCACCAAACAATTCTTTGCCCAAACTTGCTGCTGAGTGAGGCAAGGCAAGGAGACCTCAGACATGGGATGGACGTTTTCATGCTCCTTAAAACATGCTGCTTCTAGTCTTGGTGTCTTTGTCACCCTCACAACGGGTTTTTCCAAATCTTTCTTACGTTTCTATGGTTGGGAGCAGGCACACTTGGCGTGGGAAACCCAGTTATTAGCTCTTCCTCGCTGTTAATGTGCGGAAACTGTTGTTCATCTGACCGTTACCCGCATTTAGTTTCATTCTTCGTTGATTTGGGGATAATGCTCAGCATGCCCTGAGAATGCTGCCTCTTTCTTGTCTTCCCCAGAGTGCACCTTCATCGTGCTGGACGCGGCGCGGTGGCCGGGACAGGCGGAGGAGGAGTCCTGCATGGTGGGGGACGTGAACCTCTTCCTCACCAACGCTGAGGATCCGACCCTGGGAGAGGTTGAAATTATGATTGCAGGTCAAGTTCTGCTTCATAGCTTTGTTACCACGGCTAAAGGCAGCTGCAGACAGGTGTTACATGCAGCAGCTTTTTATTCTCGTGCTTTACAGTGGCTGTTCAGCCCTGATGAGACCTTTGTCTGTCCAGGTCACAGTCTCCTCTGAAAAGTGTCTGGTGTGGCTGATTTGTCTCCCATAAGTGGATGCTGACTCTGTGACTGTCTCTTTCAGAGCCCTGCTACCGAGGCAGAGGGTTTGGCAAGGAGGCAACTCTGCTGATGATGGCCTATGGTAAGGGTGGCTCAGTGCACAGGAACAGGAGTACAGGCAGCCTGTGATCCAGAAGCACATACTCCTAGTGATTCAGACAGGCTAGTAAGGGATGCATCTGCCCCAAGACTGGAGTCCTCTGCTTTTATAGAAGCCAAACTAGTAACAGAAATGCTTCTCTGATTTCTTTTGCAGGAGTGAGAAGCCTGGGGATCACCAAATTTGAGGCTAAGATTGGTCAGGAAAATGAAGCCAGTATCTGCATGTTCAAAAAGCTTCACTTTAAGGAGGTGCAGTAACAGCCCATCTTCTACCCAGAGAACATGTTTCCCCCATGACTGGTACTGAGCTGCTTTCCCTCTGTGTGATGCAGGTTGCTGTGAACAGCTTTTTCCAGGAGGTGACGCTGAAGCTGGATGTCAGTGACCAGGAGAGACGATGGCTCCTGGAACAGACAAACCACGTGGAGGAGAAGAGCTACACTGAGCTGAAGCGGCCAGTTGGGGTGCTGGAGACCTGACAGACACATCCAGACACTGGCTGGGTTTCCAGGGAGGAGTTGGACGCTGTTGCAAGGTCTGGGTGTGGAGGACACCGCTGAGCCAACACTGCACTTGACTGTTTTCAGTTACTTTGTCATCCTGTCAACTTTGCACTTTGCTGCGCCAGCCAGAATTACAGCCTGAAGTTTGGACCTGGAGAACAGCCACTAATTCACAGGTTTGGCTAGGAATGACTGTAACCTTCACATGCCGTTCCAGCAGAGCCTAAAATCACCAGCAGTTGTTTCCTGGTGCCACCAATTTCTGTACAAGCAGTAACTTCTCCCACTGCCCTTGGAGCAGGATTCATCAGTTTGGCAGACATGGTCTCATACGCTGGCAGCTCAGTTTGTTTACTCTTGAATAAAAAAAAAAAGACAAAACTCTGAGGTGCCTGAGCACAGTGTGGGGCTCAGCTGCTTGCTTTGGCTGCTCAAAGTGTGGTTATGGTTTGTAACAGACAACAGAGACTCTTTGAACCCAGTCTTCCAGGGTCTGGTGCGTTGCAGGGGGGCACTGCTGTGTCCTGGCAGGGAGAGGCCCTAGTGTGGGTGAACACAACCAAAGGGCAAGTTAATGTGATGAAAATTGTTGATATTGGCTGATCAAGACTAGAGCTGAGCCCCACCATGACAGCTGTGCAAGGGAGGGGCTGGGAGCTGCAGGAGGCTGCTGAGACAAACCCCCTGGAGCTTCAGGGCCGTGTTCCATATCTGGAAACCTTAGGCCAGCCTTGAAGGGATATAGCACTTCATTTTCTGTGGATGCTTTGATGGAAGCAAGGAGGAACAGGAGAACACAGTGAAAGGAGACAGCTCCCTTCTTCCAGCAGCTCAGGACTTGCTCTGCTGAGCCTGGAAGCTCCATTTGCTGCTCCACTAAGAAGGATGGGGGGGGAAAATATCTATGACTGAGGGGCAGATATATTTAGGTGGGAGTTAACCAGCCTGAGCAGTGGTAGATCCAAGATCTATGGATGAAGAAGGGGCACTTGCTTGACTCCCCCTGGACAGACTTACCCTTGCAGTTACTCAGCCTGACCTCTCCTGCCCTACACATGCTCTGCACAGCAGGGAGGCTTGCTAAGAGGAGAGGACAGAAGGTAAGGAGGATAACTGACTCCTGTGTGTTTTCCCACTGTAGTAGCAACCGTAATGGCTAATCCTAGACCAGAAATTATCTGTTCCAATGACGCAGGATCAGGTAATAACTTTCAGATTCGCCCAGGGATGTTTATATTGGAGATTGGCAGTCTGTGGAATTTTTAGTGTTGCTGTGCCTTGTATTTTTAGAGCCTGCGGCGTTTTAGTTTTCCAATTTTAGTTAATTTAAATACATGATTCCTGTGACTAATATTAAAGCCAAGCGTGGGAACAGTGTATCACGGTATTTTAAAACAACAAGTATTTAGCGTGGATTTAGTTGTAGGGAAAGCTTTGTGTGGTAATAAAGTGAAGAGCAGCTCTACTTCCCGCTGGGATTACCATGACAAGGGCTACTAATCCTCCTGCTCTTCGTCACCTGCTGCAGGCAGGAATGGATTCTGTCCTCCAGAACAAGATTTGCAGAACCTGCTGGGCAAACTGCTGGCTCTGTGCTCCTTCCGTGGAGTGTTTCATCCCTGTGCCAGAGGAGCCAGGCCAAACTGGGAGGAGAGATGGAGCTGAGCTGGGATTTGCTCCCCTAAAAGCCGAACAAGGTGGGAAAAATAACTTAACCTCTGGTGCCAGGGAAAAGGGGCAGTGATATCCTGTCATAGCTCCCCATGCCCAGCCGGTTGCTCTGGAGCCAGCGAGTGCCCAGCTTGGCATCCCCGGTCCCCTGGCAACGCCGGCGCTCTCCCGCCTCCACAGGGGCTGGGAAAAGCCTTTGCCTGGCAACCCAAAACAAAGTTGGGTCTGTCCTGGAGCTCAGCCCTCCCCCAGGCTGGGGTGGTCCCAGCGAGGCTCAACCAGTGTTCCCACAGGGAACCAGTGCCCAGCTGCTCCGACCAGGCCAAGAGGCAAAAGATGCCCCTGGGACCCAGTGGATGCCCCCACTCCTGCCCTGCATGGGTAGCCCCAGCCAGGCTGGGATGCCCTGCTTGCTCTCCAAGGGGGTGAAGGTAGGAAAGAGAAGACAGGAGCTCACCTATTTCAGAGGACACCTTTGGAGGATGAGGCTCGTTGGAATGGGCTCCCCCCACCCCACCCCCAGCTTCTAGAGGGAAGTGACAGCCTGCACATTCCCTGGAAATGTGGTGACACCTTGTCACTTGGTTGTCATTTGAGGTGCAGACCTCTGTGACCACTCGTTAGCTCAGGTAGACCAGCTTGTCTGGAAGTTTGGAGCACAAAACAAGAGTGTGCAGAAGGGGAGGAAATGCAGACACTGGGCAGAGACCGGGCCCAGCCCTGCCCTGTGCTCAGTGCAGCCATGGTGCCACCAGCCTGGCCCTGCTGAGCCACCCAGGGCTAGATCCATCCATTTAGAGGGACAAACAACCCCTCCCATCCCCCCTGCTTTCCCCCAACCCAGGAGCAACCGAGGCTCACCCTAAAAACCTCCAGGGGGGCTGGGGGCAAATTGGAGCTGCCCCCAACAGAGCTGCTGCCCTCCAGCCTGGTTGACAGACCTGGATTAGAGCTTTGCATCACTGCCCTCACTCCCCTGCACTCCCCAAGGGATTAGAATCCTTTAATCACCCTGAGGCATTAACCCCCACTGGGACCAGCCGGTGCCTCCCTGACCCCCCCATCCTGGCCCCACCAGGTGCTGAGGGGCATCCAAACCAGGCCCAGTGTCCCCCACATTACCTGCCTCTTCCCCCAGCCCCAGGGCACAGCAAGCCCCTGCACCCTCTCAGGCTCCGGAAGGATTTAGCCTTAAACCAGACACGTGAAGTCAGGAAGGTTTATTCCAGTAAACAGAATTTCTCTTGAGCTCAACAGTACGACAACACCTGATTGCACCACATAGAAACAAAACATCCACAGGAAGAATTTCCACAAAATACAGTTAAAAAAAAAGGAATGGTGCGATTGGAAAAAAAAAAAAAGAAGTCTATGAGAAGCCTTTAAATTACACAGTGTTGGATTCAAACCCTGATCGGCTCTGTCTCCAGGAGTGTGCAGGAGTAAAGGAGACTATTATTGCTTGCTGTGCTGGCTCCGGACACCCTCTCCTCTCCCAAAATTGCCCCAGGGGCAGGGTGGGTGCTGAGGTCTCCTCACTGCTGGGCACCCGTGTCCCTCCTTGCAGCAGAAGAGGCAAAGGGACAAGGTCATCGTGGACGGAGCTTGCCAGGCAGGGGTCAAACACCCCGGCTGTGGTCAGTGGCTGGGCAGGTGGGGTTTGGCAAGAGTCACTAAAAGCCTCGGGTTTTTCAGTTAAAGGGAAATCTGGGGGGTGGCTCAAATGGAGATAGGGTTTGGGGGTGGGGGAAGAACCAGGGAACAGCAGGGATCAGAACTGGGCATCAGGCCACCCCAAATTCTTGATCCCTCCCAATATCCCTGCTTGTGCCTACCAGGATGTGCAGGGCTTCAAGGCAGGGCTGGAGGAGCACGCTGGGGATGGGCTCTTGAGAGGGGGCACGCCCAGCACCCCTGTCTCTCTCTAGCCCAGACATCCCTCTGCAGGGATGCTCACTGGCCACTGAGCCCCAGCACTCAGGTCAGGGTGGTGGGGAGCAGCCCCACATCCCCGCCAGGAGCCCGTGGCAGGGAGGAGGGGGGTGCAGGAGAGGTGGGTGCAAGGCTGGGAGGGGCCAGCAGACCCTCACCCCGCCCCAGGGACCTTCACAGGTTGCTGAACAGTTCGTTTTTCTTGCTCCAGTCCATCTGGGGTGCCCTCTTGCTGGTGCGCTTCTGGTGCGCCCGCTCCTTGGCCACGGCCAGCGGGATGTCGAGGTCCAGGAGGGAGCCGGATGCTGAGTGGCGTTTGTCACCTTCCTCCATGTGGGGCTGGGGGGGGCGAGAGGCTGTGTCAGCCCCACCATGTCCCCCCTCAGGACAGCCCCACAGTGGGGGCTCATCCCAGATCCCGCTTCCCAGCCACTGCCTCCCCCCGGCATTCCCAGCCCTACCTCGCTGTGGGTCTCGCTGGAGTTGGGGGACACGGCCAGAGGCGCGGGGCTGGACGGGCTCTCGGACACCGAGTTGGACTGTGGCTCTCCGCTGTTTTCCTGGGGGAAACAGGGAGGGAATGAGAGCTCCAGCCCCCGTGGCTTGAGAAAAACCACTGGAGTTGCAAGTCCCACACGGGGGTCCACGAAATCCGTCCTTCCCCACATGTAATCCCCTACAAGCTCCAGGCACATAAATACTCCAGCACTGCCCATCTGGAGCGGGGAGGGATTAAACCCCGGCCAACTGCCCTGGCTTTAGCTGGAGCAGGAGGAGGAGGGAGGCTGCAGGGCTGGATGCTACTTCCCTGCAGCACCACAAGGGCTCCTAGCCCTGGAGCATCAGGAGGCAAAAGGAGAGGAGGCACAGGCAATTGCAGCCATCTCTGTTACACTCAGCACCACAACCAACTCCCTTCCTGGGGGACACCAGTTCCCAGTCCCCTTCCCAGTGGCACCAGCTCTTGTGTGGCAGCCTGGGAGCACTGCAGTCCCTGGTGGCATCATTCTGTCCATGGGGACACCTGAACAGGAGGGTCCCTGCCTGGAGATGGGCATGGATGGGGTTAGAAGCAAGACGAGGCTCTTACCTTCTCTATATCGCCATTGGCAACTGGTTCTGGCAAGGGACCTGTGGGACAAGGACATGGGCACCAAGTGAGGATGTATTTGCTTTGTCCCCTCACCAATGTGGGGCAATCAAAGGCTGCACATGGCCAGCGCTCACACAACACTGCCCAGGATCTGGCCAGGTCCTGAGTTTTCTAACCAGCCCCTGCAGCCAACCCCACAGCACAGGGAGATGCTGCCAGGCACATCCCCATGATGGCAGCAGTGATGTGGAGCCCAGTGAGAACCCCTCCCCATCCTCCTGGGGACCACCGTGACAGCAGGGAGGGGCCCATGGAGCAGAGCGAAGGGCAGCTGATGCCTCTTCACTCCCCAGGCCATAAACCCTGACAAAGTGCAAACCAGGGCCATAAACCACCACCCCAGCACAGGGCCCCCACACAGGCAGGGAGACACCAAAGCCACGTGACTCTGCTTGGCCCTAGGGTGATAAACCTCCACCTCCTAGGGCTCAGGGAGCACCCCAGCACCCCAGGTTTGGTGACACAAAGCTGACAGAGATGACACAAACCCCCAGCCTCGCAGCACAGCCCCCAGCCCACCTGTCAGGTGCTGCTCCGAGGGCACCACCTTGCACTTCTTGAAGAACTCATCCGTGAGGACATCCACTACCAGCAGCCTGGTCTCATCACCGCCTGCCTTGATGGCTGCCACCACGTCACTGTGCTGCTTGCCCTCCATGCACACACCGTTCACCTGCAGG